CATTGTAACTCAAGTTTTTTGCCTATTTCAGTGCTCATGCACTATAAAGGGCACACATAATTTTTTTACAGCTGTACCTTAGCTTCAGTATTTGTAATGTATTCTGCAGGGTTAATCCTGTGTTGTACCTCAAAGTTTGTGGCCTATTCCCAATGCTTCACCACTGTAAAGGTACCACACATGTTTCTGCAGCTGCCAAATTTTAAATGTTTACTGCAGGATAAATCGAGTGTTACATCTCAAAGTTTGAGGCCTATTCTGGTGAACTGGCACTGTAAATGTGCCACAATATTTCTCTGCAGATGGACCTGCAGATGGACCTCAGCTGACAAATTTTAATACATGTGGCAGGGTAAATCAGACTTTCAGTCTCTAGGTTTGCAGTCTGTTCTAGTGCTCTTAATCTGTAAAGCTGCCATGCGATAGTCCTGCAGCCAGACCTCAGCTGACAAATTTCTAATGTATACTGCAGGGTAAATACTGCTTTCTGTCTCTAAATTCACAGCCTATTGCAATGCTCTGGCAATCAAAAATATGTGTGGCTATTGTTTCTAAGATAATACACTCTAATGTTTATTTCAAGATTAAAACTCTCTAATTTCTTCCTCTTACATTATGGCCTAACCAAGATGCATATATACTGTCCAGTCAGTGGCTTCTCTAGGCGGGTGAGGGGGGTGCGCGCTGCACCGGGTGACACCGGACCCTCTCCACGAGCTCCACAAAAAGGAATGTTTTAAAGCAAGCCGACAATCCCCCAAGATGGATCGGATCTGCGGATTGAGCATAATGGATTGGAGTCTGATCCATTATGCTCCTCAATCCACAGATCTGATCCATCTTGCGGGGATGGTCGGCTTGCAACCTATACGGTTTTAACTGATCTAGGTAAGGCTGTGCAAGATCCAGGACTTGTCTGTAACCAGTAAATGCGGCCGCGATAGCAGGAACCTCCTCCATCTGACATCACTTCTCGAGCATGTGCAGACCAGACCGGTGTTGAAAGATCAGTTAACCCCGTATAGGTTGCAAGCCGATGATCCCTGCAAGATAAATTGGATCTGCGGATTGAGGAACATAATGGATCAGACTCCGATCCATTATGCTCAATCCGCAAATCCGATCCATCCTGCGGGGATCGTAGGAGGGGTGACACCAAGTGTTACCGCACCGGGTAACACCAACCCTAGGGACGCCCCTGTGTCCAGTGACTGTACAATGTTTGTGATTTTGTGCCTTAAATAATTCACTCTAACGTTTTATTTCCTTACAATAAAACTCCTCGCTCTTATTTTGCAGCAATACTTAGTTGCTTACATACAGTCTAGCCACTGAAAAATGTTTGTGGCCATTATCTGTCAAATAATACACATCAATGTTTAGTTCAAGCTAAAACCTGCCCGGTCTCTCCTTCTTACATTTTGGCTTTACCAAACTGAACCAAGGCACTTACACTCATTCCTACATTGGAGCTGTTGTTAAAAGAAAATGACTGAAAAGCATTACAGTAACGGAGCCACTCCTTTCCCTGTCGGCTCCTGTTCCTTAATGGTTCGTCCAGTGTATTATTTGTAAAACTATTGAATAATGGTGTGAAAGTAGAGAATAACATCATGAATAAGGTCTGCAATGACAAAATACATAAACATATTCCAATGACAAATGAGACAGAGTTAGCGAACACAGCTGCTAAAACAGTAAACCAGTGTATTTGCTGATCTGTTGTCTCATAAGATTAGTAATGCAGCTTGGTGTTCCATAATGATTAACAGTGAATGAAGCTAACATTTTATCAACTTTCCAATTTTCTTTAAAGCAGCTCAGAATTATTTAAATAAGACAGATTTACTAACACTGTATTTGACTGAAAAGTCAACATCTTGATAGCGAGCTAAAGTGAATTTAGGACTTTTTCATTACTATGTAATAAAGTCCTGTACTAGTAATAAGGAAATCATGTATATAATGCTGTTTTGCTTTGGCTCACTAAGTACAGTAATAAAGTCATGTACTAGCGACAAGCAAATACCCTACACATTTTTGCTTTTCTTGGTATTTCTATATTATATATTAATATTTTCACACAGTTTAGGAACACATTGTCGTATGGTTATTTCCTAAAACTTAACCCTAATTAACTGTGATGCTTAAGACATTATACTACCCTAACACTGAAGTATATTCTCTGTTTATGCACGACCATCTGTTAGAGTATTTGATTCCCATCCTGTTCTCTTCTGTATCTGTCTGTGCAAAGCTATATTGATTTTTGCCTTGCTCTTTTACTGAATAACAAATTAATCCTTCTAACTTCAGCCAGAGGCATATTGAAGTCCGTCTGGCCTCTTTGAGTCAGCACTGGTCAAACCCTATGGGGGTTCACCCGACATGCACTGTCTGGTAGCGGTCTATCCATAAATGATCTCTTAGCAAGTGCATTTGATGCATATGTATCTAAAATTCTGAGTTCACTGACAAAAAAACTATGTTTATTTCATCACCAATGTTAAATGAGTTTAACTGAAACTATATATAAAATTAATCAAGATTATTCATATTCTTTTTAACCAAAAAGGGATTTTAATTCTGGACAGTCAAAATGTATTTGCCATTTTCATAATTTTTGTTAGTCAATGCTTTCAGTTTGTGCAAAGATTCTACAAGGTGTTGCCGATTTTGAGTCATATTAGGATGGAGAGTGCAAAATCTGGTGCAGTTCTGCAGATAAAACAATAAGCTTCCAGGTTTTATTGTCAAAGCATAACCTCATCACGCAGGCCAAATGCAAATGTGCGGCCTCCCGGCATCTAGGCCTAGACTCCGAGCGGCCGCACATTTGCGTTCTGCTAAAAAAGAACATACAGTTGCAAGAAAAAGTATGTGAACCCCTTGGGATTACGTGGAGTTTTGCATGAATTGGGCATAAAATGTGCTCTGAACGTCATCTAAGTCACAACAATAGAAGAACACAGTCTGCTGAACATAATACTACACAAAAATTAGATGTTGCCATCGATTAATTGCACATAACATGTAAACATTCACAGTGCAGGGAGGAAAAAGTATGTGAGGCCCTAGCTTAATGACTTCTCCCAGAGCTAATTGGAGGTAGGAGTGAGCCAACCTTGACTCCAAGCAGTGTGATGATATTTGATGTGTTGCTAACAGCTGTCTTGCCCTTAAAAAACACACACCTGTTTTGGGTTTACTGGTTTCAAGAAGCACTGTCTGATGTGAACCATGCCTCGCAGAAAAGAGCTCTCAGAAGACCTACGATCAAGAATTGTTGACTTGCATGAAGCTGGAAAGGGTTACAAAAGTATCTCCTTGAGCCTTGATGTTCATGTGTCCACGGTAAGACAGACTGTCTACAAATGGAGAAAGTTTAGCACTGTTGCTACTCTCCCTAGGCGGGGTCGTCCTGTAAAAATGACTGCAAGAGCACAGCGCAGAATGCTGCATGAGGTAAAGAAGAATCCCAGAGTGTCAGCTAAAGACCTACAGAAATCTCTGGCACATGCTAACATTTTTGATGACACATCTACAATAAGGAAAACATGAAACAAGAATGGAGTACATGGGAGGACACCACGGAGGAAGCCATTGCTGGCCAAAAAGAATATTGCAGCACGTTTGAAGTTTGCAAAAGAGCACCTGGATGTTCCACAGCACTACTGGCAGAATATACTGTGGACAGATGAAACCAAGATTGAGTTGTTTGGGAAGAACACACAACACTATGTGTGGAGAAAAAAAGGCCCAGCACACCAACATCAAAACCTCATCCCCACTGTAAGACATGGCGGAGGGAGCATCATGGTTTGGGGCTGCTTTGCTGCCTCAGGGCCTGGACGGATTGTTGCCATTGATGGGAAAATGAATTCCAGAGTTTATCAAGACATTTTGCAGGAAAATGTACGACCATCTGTCCGCCAACTGAAGCTCCGCAGAGGATGGCTGATGCAACAGGACAATGACCCAAAGCATACAAGTCATTCAACAAAAAATGGCTGCAACAGCACAGAATACGCCTTCTGGAGTGGCCAAGTCAGAGTCCTGACCTCAACCCCATTGAAATGCTGTGGCATGACCTTAAGAGAGCGATTCACACCAGACATCCCAAGAATATTGCTACACTGAAAACAGTTTTGTGAAGAGGAGTGGTCCAAAATGACTCCAGATCGTTGTGCAGGTCTGATCTGCAACTACAGGAAAACGTTTGGTTGAGGTTATTGCTGCCAAAGGAGGGTCAACCAGTTATTAAGTCCAAAGGTTCACATACTTTTTCCTCCCTGCACTGTGAATGTTTACATGTTATGTGCAATTAAACCATGGCAACATCTAATGTTTGTGTAGTATTATGTTCAGCAGACTGTGTTCTTCTATTGTTGTGACTTAGATGATGTTTAGAGCACATTTTATGCCCAATTCATGCAAAACTCCACGTAATCCCAAGGGGTTCACATACTTTTTCTTGCAACTGTATGTGCTGAGAGCGCGCGCCCTGCAAGCTCCCAGCACACATGTCCTGTACTCATGGAAAGATCCCGATCTCCTCTTTCGATCGGGACCTTTCCCGATCATGTGACGGCCATGACAGCGTGTCACAGTGGTCACATGACCCTAAACCCTGCCCCGCCTCCCAGCTTCTGAAACTCTTAAAGGGCCAGGAGACGCCGGCGCGAAGGGGTTAATTGAACAGGCTGAAGTTAGAAGCTGATTGGACTATGCACAGCTGCACCAGATTCTGAGTGCACCAGTTTTAGTAAATAGATCTGCAAAGTTCCGCTGCATGCCTATGTATTGAGCAGATGGGAGATACAGTTATATCATATACACAGGGGCAGACTGACAACTCATAGGGCCCCCAGGCAATAGGGGATCATGGGGCCCCCCTGTGTCCTTGCCCAAACTCAAAAAAGTCTATGAAAAAGGTACCAGGGGCATCTCATGGGGCCCCCTACTGACCTCCGGCCCTCGGGCAGTGCCCGAGTTTCCAAATGGTCAGTCCGCCCCTGCATATGCATATCAAAGTTGCTGATGTGACATAGATCTAACATTGAAGTTGAAACTGTTGATAGAGGCAAATATATGAGGTGAAACGGTGGTCCATGGGATTGTTATGCTCCAGAGTCTAGGAGGTTTTGGTAAGGTGCATGAGTCATAAGGTGGAGGAACACCAAAGGTGGATTAAGCACTGGTTTGTAGTGATCACAAAGGTTATTGGAAGTACTACACTATATGAATTTTTTTTTTTTGAGAATTACATTAAGAAGTAAAAAAGAGAAAAAGGAAGAGGTCTGCAAGATTCATTTTATGTAGAAGTGATAAAATTTGGAGTGGAGGGTAACAGTAAGGATGACATATATTGGAATGTCGTCACATGGTGGATAAGTTGGCACATTATATGCGCTTTTTGCATTTTTTGCTTAAGGAAAGAATACTATCCAAAAGAAAGAGAAAGAGGAGTTTACACGTTTATTGATACATATATGAATTGGAATACTTGATTAGCTTTGTCTGTGGAGAGTTGAAGATAATCTTACAACACAAATTGGAAATAAATGCTCCCAACACAGGGTGGTAACTGTGGGGGCAATTGAAGAGTTCAAAAGTGCCTCATCCTAATGTAGAATAATTGAAAACATTTATGTTACAGGGTGATGTCACCATTCTGTAAAGATTTTACATGTTTGTTTTTGTTCAATAAAATGTTTTATTTTTATGAAATGCCATTGTAGTGCCTAACAAGTCCATGAGTTTTTCAGTTAATCTTACAACACAAACATCCTATATGACTGTAAAAAGGGATTAATTATTTGATGGGTGGACTTGTATGCTGGGTTTCAGTATATATAATTGCATCTTCCCAGGGGGGGGAAGAATTATCCTAGCGGCCAGAAACTCTAATCAGAATTTTTTTATACATGTTTTTGATTCATTATAAGCATCTGGGTGGCAGTCATTATAGTTAATTACCAGGCGTGGCTTTCAACATATAGTGTATAGATCTAAGGTTGCATGACTTTGGGGGGTAAAGTCATTAAAGTCAACTCTCATAGCTCTTCATTGGACTTTAAAGCAAATTTTCAGTTAATGTTTGAGATCATTGACCTGCTGGAAAATCAACATTTTTGCACCATGCAGAAGGGAATGTTTTTTAAAAATGTAATGAATAAGAAAGTAGCTTAAAAATAGAGATAACAAAACAAAATGTTTATTATTTTCCAAATCATGGGGTACATTTATAAAAGATAACAAAACAAAATGTTTATTATTTTCCAAATCATGGGGTACATTTATAAAAAAAATCACTTAGAAATTCACCCAGTGAAGGATTATGTAAATTTGTTCGGTGTGAATATAGCAAAACATGTATTTATTTTTTGACTATTACTTGGCTGAATTCATTTTTTTCTTTGATTTAATTTGGGGAATACCACATTTGGCCACTAGATGGTCCTAAGTATCATAGGAATGACCTAACATACTTAGCACTATCTAGTGGCCAAATGTGGTATTTTCAATTTTAAATCAATAAACAATCTTACACAGCACAGCTTAACAACATTAATCAATGTACAAATGTACACAAAATACATGTACTGTACATGCACTTTCCCTGTGCATATTTTTATAAACACACTGCCATATGTGATAGCACGTTTTTTTAAGCTTCATGACTTTAACCTCTCATGTATCTCTGATTAATCCTATGATTAAAGCCCCCTTTCAAACTTTCAGCTTAGCTGCCATTTGGTGCAGTGATATATCAGCACTCTGGAGAAACATTTGGCCCAAGTTCACTAAGCTCCTGTGACATTATTACACATAGCTGGAAAATCTTTTGTCAATGTTTTTCTTGCAGTAGCACATGCAACATTAGCACTTAGAGGGCCATATTATTTTAGCAGTAGCTGTTAAAAGATCAGAACACTTCATAATGTTTATTAGGAGTGTGTTCAAAACAAAATAATCCATTTTTTCTACCTTTTAATAATGCATTTGTACAGTTAGTACTCAACTAAGTAAATATTCTCATTGTACTTTTAATATAACACTTACGTAGACACAGTTTTTTGTGTTGCACTCAAACGTCTGAACTATCTACTTAATTTGGTTCGTATGCCACTGAAGGCATTCTTGCTTTAAATATAGTAGTAGGATTTACATTGTCGAAAGTAAGGTTTCCATGTCAGCTAGGTCTTTGGTAATGATACAAAAAGAAGGATACCCCAATCTTCCAACCTAAGGATTGGACATAGGGCTAATAACACTATTTTGTAAAAAAAAAAAAAAATTATAATTATACAGCTTATGTATTATTCTTTGCACATAACATCAGTGAATTACTGATGCGTGGGAGTGAGGTCATGCCGATCCTGCCAGTGACAGCTGCTGGTGATTGAGACCTGGATGCTGGCTGCCTGAAGATGTCAGCAGCTGGGTGGGCACATCACATTGCTGGAGCAGAGATGAGCATAGTTCCACTCTAACTTTTTTACTGTTGATTGACTTACTACCTCTGCTGGAAGTCTCTCTCAAGCCTCTACTACTCTATCTGTAAAATAATACTTTTTATCCTTATTATATATTTAATAATTTCCCAGGCTCACCTCCAGGACTTCTCCAGAGCCTCTCCCATCCTCTGGAACTCCCTACCACAGTATGTCCGGTCAGCCCCTACCCTGTCTGCCTTTAGGCATTCTTTGAAAACTCACTTATTCAGAGAAGCCTACCCCACCTCCACCTAAGAACTGTACTTGAATCACCTCCACCAGATCATCCCCCCCAGCTATCACCTTTTGTATCACCTCCCCCTTCCTTTAAATTGTAAGCTCCACGAGCAGGGCTCTCCTATTCCTTCTGTACTGAAATGTATTGTAATTGTACTCTCTCCCTTATGTTGTACAGTGCTGCGCAAACTGTATAAATCCTATCTAATAATAATAATAATTTCTATACTAGTAGTAATATTTATTCTTGAATTTTAGTCCTGTTAGTTTGAGATCATAACCCTTTGTTCTTCATATTTAAAGGTTTCAGCTATGTCCATCCTTTACTTTCTTTTCTTGGGGCTGTACATACTTCAGCTTTAAGTAATACATTTGCATGTTGCCACTAAGCAGTAATGGAAGTGAAACATTTAGTTAATATAAACATATATAACAGTACATATACTGATAATGGCAGCACAGCACTGGAACACCACCTAGCACATGTGCACTAGTGCAACCCACTGGGGCGATCCCGTGACCACTTGGTACCCAACTGCTGTGTCGCCTTGGGTATCATGTGATTGCTATGACTGGTTATAGCGATCACATGATTACAATGTAAACAAAACAGTCATGAATGGTTGCTATTCATGACTGATTGCTTAGTGTTGTGAAACTGTGATTGGCCCACAGTACCTGACACCCTGTACCATGTGATCAGCTGTTGCCAATCACGGCATGTCAACAGAAAGCAATCTGTCATGAATGGAAAGCCATTCACGACAGTTAACTATTGCTTATAACAGTGATCATCACTGTTATAAGCAAGAACAGTATTTTAAAAAATCCCTGATCACCCCCCCCCCCCCCCCCCAAGTAGTACTGTGCCACTATGGTGACACTGAACTACTCTTCTGACAGTATGTAAAAAAAGTAAAAAAAATAAAAACCTTATAAGTAGAAAAAAAGGTTTAAAAAACTGAATTAAAATTATTTATTTATTTATTTTACATACTGTCACTAGTAAGTATTCCTGATCATCACCACACAATCATATGATGAAGCTGTACTGCACTGGTGACAAACCCCCCCCCAAACGTTCATTTAAACTTGAAAAAACCCACCATGCCTCTTACTAAATACCTGTCTACTTTCCAAAAATGGATCATTTGGGGGTATTTGTACTTTCCTGGCATTTTAACCACTTCAATACTGGGCACATTTACCCCCTTCGTGCCCAGGCTAATTTTCAGCTTTCAGTGTTGTCGCACTTTGAATGAAATTGCGAGGTCATGCAACACTGTACCCATAAAAAAATTGTATCATATTTTTTAACACAAAAATAGAGCTTTCTTTGGTGGTATTTAACCACTTCCCGACCAGCCGTTGTATATAAACGGCCGGATGGTGGCACTGCAGGGTCAGGTGGCCGTTTATAAACGGCCTCCCTGCACCCTGTTTGTGCACGCTCCCAGGGAGCGCGCAGCACCGCGATCCAGTGCCCGCTGTGTCCTCCGGACACAGTGAAACACCGATCGTCGGACGTCTGCACGAGGTCCCGATCATGTGATCACTGATTGGCCAATCAGTCATCACATGCAAAGTAGTAAGCAGGATGTCACTTCTGACATCATTGCTTACTACATGTGAAATCTTTGAATGATCACAGAGTTCACATGGTACAAGGCTATTCACAACAGCCTTGTACCATGTGACAAGCTGTGACCAATCACGGCTCACTCAGTAGTTCTCAATGGCTGCAAGAATGCAGACAGAGGGAAAGAGAAATGATTGCTTTTACATCCTATATGGGTGTAAAAGCAATCAGTGTAAAAAAAAAAAAAAATCTTCATCACTCCCCAAAAGTAGTACAGTGTCACCATGGTGACACTGTACTGCTAGGGTGACAGTATGTAAAAAATAAATAAATAAATAATAATATTAAAAAAAAAATAAAAATGTAAAAAAAAATGTTTAAAAATTATAATTTTTGGTTATAAAGTAATTTGGCTTATATATTTTTTTTTACTATTAAGATAACGGAATAAATTTTGGCCAATATTTATGATGAAATATTATTTATTTGCAAAATTTTATAAGAAAAAAACACTTTTTTTCAAAATTTTTGGACATTTTCATTTACATGTGATAGCGCTGAAAGCTGAAGTGTCTGGACTGGAAGTGGTTAATCACCAGTGAGTTTTTTTATTTTTTGCTAAACAAAAAAAACATGAAACTTTTGAAAAAAAACTCAGTTTTTGTTAGAAAATGTTGCAAATAAATAAAATTTCTTGTTAAAATACCCCAAATTAGTGTATATTATTTAGTCTGCAGGAAAGTTCACAAACCATGGTATATATATCTGACAATCGATCAATCAATGTACACTCTCATTTCTTGAGGCCCCAAAAACTCCAGACTAGTACAAATACCCCCCCAAATTACCCATTTTTGGAGAATAGACAGTCCAAGGTATTTAGTAAGAGGCATGGTGAGCTTTTAGGAGGTTGTAATTTTTTGTTACAATTTTCTTAGAAAATGTAGAAATTTAAAAAAAAAAAATCACAATTCTTTTTTTTTTTTACATATTGTCACCAGTCCAGTACAGTGTGATTAAATAACTGGTGTGGCGGTGATCAGGGACACTGACTGGTGACAGTATATAAAAAAAAATAAAAATAATAATTCAATTTTTATGTTTTTTCAAATTTTTCTACTATTTTTTCAGTTTTTAATACATTATATTTTCTTTTTTACTTTTTTTTTTCAACACACTGTGACCATAGCAACATTGAACTACTCGGAGCAAGTGATCAGGATTTATTTACACATTATGATTGCTAATACCAATGTATTTCATTGATATTAGCAATCATTGTTACTGAATTAAACTGATTCATTCAGTCCTTTGTTGTGATTAGCTGTGATTGGACTAAAATGTGTTGGCCCTGTCTGTACCATGTGACTGCTTTGATCAATCACAGCTAACAGCACAATTGTATACAATGAATGGCATGACAGGAAGCCATCCATTATTTACAATCGACATGTGATCTGCTGTGATTGGTTTCAGCTGTCACATGACACTGGCAAAAGGCCGGTGTAGTGATTAGTCATCGGCCGTGTCCCGTGGACACAGCCAGTGACAGGTCGCGCCACTGCGTGGCCCCATGGCCCTGTGAACGGCTGTTTTGACAGGACGTCAGATGATGCACAGTCACAATTGCGAGTGTCCCGCCTGGCCGTCAACCTGCTATCGGTGTTAAAGGCCTCAGATAATGAGATAGGCCGTCAGTACATCAGGTTTGATCAATTTTCAAATATACAGTATATACCATTGTTTGTAGATTCTATAACTTTCAAAATGTTAGGTACTTTTTCATTTATATAGCAAAACAGAAAGTGAGGGGAAGTCCTTCCAAACGGAGGGAAATTTCCCACTTAGACAGTCATTACTAGAACATGCACCCATTGGAAGAATTATTTTCACCTATTATTCCTTTTTGACTACCCTAAAATGAAGGATCCCCTTCATCTTCTGCCCCAGTTACAATACTCAAAAGTGCAAATAAGGCAAATCTCCCCTGTAGTTATAAAGTCAGCAATAAAAATTCAACAAAAGTTTTAACCCTTTCAATCAAATAAGTGAATAGGTAGGCTCTGCAACAACCGTGCATCAAAGGAAGAGAGCAAGTCAACACTCAACAACATCTAACATATACTTTGAGAGTTGATTTGCTCTCTTCCTTTGATGCATGGTTGTTGTAGCACCTACCTATTCACTTATTTGTTTGCTCAAGTGTATTTTACTTTTTTAGGGGCAGATGTCAACCTTTTTTCCGGCTTATTGCAGACAATATCCATGATTGTTTGAACACTTATTTACATTTTTCAATTATATTATTTTAACTCTTTCAATACCCTTTACATTTTAAAGTGGTATGAAACCCAAAACCTAAATTTAATATAATGCACCTTACCAATTAGATGTGGTGGCTGCACTAGTTAGCTTTTTTTTTGCTTTTTCTTCCCTTTTGATTAAACCTGATGATCTGTTCAGTAACATACGTGCTGTATTAGTGAGACACCACTCTGGATGAATGAACCAGGACACAGCAGGCAGCAGAATTGTCAGTCTGGGGGGAAGGGAGTGTTAAATGCAGGGGCAGACTGATAACTCATGGGGCCCCGGGCAATAGGGGATCATGGGGCCCCTGTGTCCTTGCCCAAATTAAAAAAATCCTATGAAAAAGGTACCAGGGGCATCTCATGGGACCCCCTACTGACCCCCCGGGCAACAGGGGATCATGGGGCTCCTGTGTCCTTGCCTAAACTCAAAAAAGCCTATGAAAAAGGTACCAGGGGCATCTCATGGGGCCCCCTACTGACCCCGGGCCCTCAGGCAGTGCCCGAGTTTCCAAATGGTCAGTCCGCCCCTGGTTAAATGTATTATCAGATTTGAATAGATAAACTGAAGCTATCTCCAGCTCACACTTTGTTATCAGTTACAACAAACAGTTTTTTGTCCTTTTGGGATAAATGTTTTACATGAATAAAAAAAAGCTGATCATATTAATCACCCTTGCCAGTGTTAAATGGTTTGCCTCATCCCTGTAAACTGATGCATTCTGCTGGAGAGCTTGTGCTTTTGGATAACAACAGAACTGCTGGCCAGATGAAAATCAAAGATAAAAAAGCTTTAAAAAGGAAACTAATGCAGCCATGACATTTAAGAAATGGTAAGCTGCAATATAATAAATATTATCTTTTGGGTTTAATACTGCTTTAACTTTCCCCCCTGTAACCAAAACTAAAAAAATAATTGGGGTTAGACCTTAATACATACACTACTAAATTTGCCTGGTGTATGCTTTAATCAACTAAGGTCATTGTATGATGGTGTGTACTAAAGAGATTAGTTCCATCATGAACTGTGAAAAGATGTCTGTGTTAATTTATATAAATCTGAATGTTTTGTTCCAAAATGAATGCACAAATAAATGAACTGGTTTATCTAATGATTATACAAAGACACAAAATATAAAACCTTTTTTATATGGCAATTTTAAACCAGAATACATCTAGAAGGCTGCATTGTAAACAGAACCTTGCAGAAAAACCCATCATATGGCTTCTATTAAAACTACTGTATATGGTGCAGCTTTAATCTGCATTGACTTCTTTGCCTTGGGGTATGGATTTTCTAAAGAAAATCTCCTATAGTGGTGGGTTTAACATAACTATGCAAGTATGTGTCATACAACCTGTATTCTAAAATAATGACATCAGTCAAGGTGACCGTAAAAAACAGGATTTCATGTGTCATTTAATTCTGATCCAGAAATGGTTGTGCTGTGCTGATTAACCATGGTCAAAACTGCATCTGATTATTTATTCATTTCAAACATAAATACTGTCGATTTTTTTTTTTAAACTATTTTTTTATAAAAAAAAAGTGAAGTTTTTTTTCGGGAAATATGTAGTATATTCTATAGCAGAATAAAAGTTACTGCCTCATACTATAAGTACATTTCTTTGAATAGTGATGGGTACATAAAGCAGAACTGAGAGATGAAGGGATAAAGGGGGAGCTGAGAGGAGACAAGATAGTCTCCTCTTTCTATTCATATTTTTAATTGGTGGAACAGTCCAATGAGAGTCATACATTTAGTTGAGGAAAGTAGAAAAATAGTGCTGGACCTGTAGAGTTATCTCCCTGGTATTGCTATCTTAAAGTGTTACTAAACCCACAACAGTAAAATCAGTCTGTATATGCAGTAAAGCATGCATGATATACTCACTGTGGAACCTAAGAGGTTAATCCTCTGCATTGTGTAAAAAGGCTGTTTGACCCTTTTTTTTTGCTGCCCCTCCTCTTGTTCCAATGTCCACTCTGATAAGACAGACGGAACCAATAGCTCTTCTGCACATGCTCAGTTTAGTGTGTATTGCTAGAGAGGTTCTTTTTTTTTTTTTTTGGGACAGTGCATGTGGTCAGCACAGGGCCAATCAGCACTGTCCAGACAGAGGGTCAGGGGTCCTGCATCCTCTTAGAAAAAAAAGAAAACTCCTCCTACAAGCTTTAACCAGTGCTCTGCTGAAGTCACAAGACTGCTCTAACTGCTGATGAGAAAAGGTATTTAGCAGTTTATATTTACTAAAATAATTGCATTTTCATGTTCTGTGTACTGTGGGAGACCAGATATAGTGAATGCAGGATCCTGGGTTTAGTAACACTTTCAATTATTGACATTGATGTAAGTGATCTGGTTCCCAGACAAGCAGCTTCTCCACCCATGATGATCTCCATGGTAGCCTTGGTTTGTAATGTAATGTAACAAAAATGGAAATTGAAGTGCCACACCACTGCTATGATGTCCAGTTATTCTAATAAAAGGAGCCAATGCATTTCACGGGTCCAAGAGCACCCACTTTATTCAGACATGATTGACAGTGTGAATAGACTAGACGTGTGCTGGACCTTTAATTTTTTTTTTCCAGTGTGATTGCAAGCACAGGCCTTGCCAGCAGCTGGTTTGGCAGCCAAACCAAAAATAATCCTGTAGTATTGTTGATAAAAGCAGTGGAATTTTTAGAACTATATCCCCATTAACATTTTTTTGGGGAGCATAATTTTCCAGTGTAGACCTGTCCCTATTGAATTATTACTGTTTTAATTTATATACAATTAAAACATCAGAAACTCCCTGAAGCTCAACATCTGCTGAGGCGAATCCATTAGGAAGTTGCATCATTCCTTTATTTATGACATATACCCTAATACTGTTTTGTTATTTATGAGGGATTTCTACCATGCATTCCTGATAAAGAATAGCAATAAAAGGGCTACACCAAAACATTTCCCTCCTTCAAATGAACTGCTTGGTATGGAAGTATGTATTGTATTGCTCAAATATCTTTGTGCACTAAAATCTCTGAAACTCTTGCTTCCAGCCTGCATTCATTACAATGCTTCAACATATGACTCTCTATCAAAACAGTCTGGAATGGTTGCAGCCACTGTTTCAGATGTTCATTCAAAAGTGTAAGCTTGGAGAAATAAGAAATACACAGTATATTTTGTCATGTTTAAAAATAATAAGCTTCTGGATCAAGGCCCTGTAAACTGCACTGGCCTGGTTTCATACCGTACATCTGACATCTGTTCACAAAAATCAGCATCGTGCTTGTATATACTGACATCCAGACACAGCTCATCCACCCACTCCTGACTTACACTTTCAATTACACACAAATACTCATCAGATTTCACACTCTTTGGAAACGTCAGATTCACGATTCTGAAGGTAAATAAATTCTTGTGTTACGGCTTCCTGATTATCAGTTCTCCAGACCTGTAGCAACAACCATCACCTTGTGTTCTTTCCAAGTAAACTACAGCTTCAGATCATCTGGGACTTTCATTCTTACCTCCAGGATATATTTAATATTTATTTATTGCAGGTACGTATATAGTGCTATCAATTTATGCAGTGAATTACATACATATTGTACATTCATAACAGTCCTTGCCCTTAACCACTTCCTGTCCAGACACTTTTACCCCCTTCCTATCCAGGGCAATTTTCAGCTCTATCACACTTTGAATGACAATTGCGCGGTCATGCAACACTGTACCCATATGAATTTTTTACCATTTTTTTGAGACAGATAAAGCTTTATTTTGGTCATATTTATTCAGCGCTGGGATTTTTATTTTTTTTGCTATGTAAATGAAAATGTCCAAAAATTTTGAAAAAAAGTGTTTTTCTTATATAAAATTTTGCAAAAAAATAATCTTTCATCATAATTCTTGGCCAAAATGTATTCCGTTATCTTTTTAGTAAAAAACAAAATAAGCCAAATTAGTTTATAACCAAACATTATAATTTTTAAACATTTTTTTTACATTTTTATTTTATTTTTTTATACTATTATTTATGTTTTTGTTTTGTTTTTACATACTGTCACCCTAGAAGTACAGTGTCACCATGGTGACACTGTACTACTTGTGGGGGGTGATGAAGATTTTTTTTTTTTTTTTTTACACTGATTGCTTTTACACCCATATAGGATGTAAAAGCAATCATTTCTCTTTCTCTCTGTCTGCATTCTTGTAGCCATTGAGAAATACAGAGTGAGCTGTGATTGGTCACAGCTTGTCACATGGTACAAGGCTGTTGTGAATAGCCTTGTACCATGTGACCTCTGTGATCATTCACAGATTTCACACGTAGTAAGCAATAATGTCAGAAGTGACATCTTGCTTACTACTTTGCATGTGATCACTGATTGGCCAATCAGTGATCACATGATTGGGACCTCGTACAGAGGTCCCATCCGATGATCGGTGTTTCACTGTGTCAGAGGGAGCGTGCACAGTTAGAAATGGTGGGCGCCGTTTATGAACGGCAACCCGCCCCTGGAGTGCCACCGTCCTGCTGTTTAGAAACAGCAGGCAGACGGCAAATGGTTAAGGAGCTTACAATCTAAAGGGCCTAACTCACATTCATACATATTAGGGCCAATTTAGACAGAATCCATTCAACCTACCAGCATGTCTTTGGAGTGTTGGAGGAAACCCATGCAAGCACAGGGAGAACATGCAAACTCTAGGCAGGTAGTGCATTAGTTGGGATTGAAGAAAAAAGACAGGAGGCGCCCGTCTGAGTGTAGTAATAACACTGTATTTAATAGCAAAGGATTAAAAACACACACAAAGAAAGTAATAAGTAGCCTGACTTTCCCACATCTGTGCTCTTCCTCCCCTCTGACCTTCCACCTCTTCCTGTGATGTCACATCCTGCCGGTGTGTCCCATGCTGGTTACTAGGCTCTTTCCTGCACAAACACTGCTGAATCGGCTCTACGACACCACCACTCTACAGTGTCTCTTACCATCTCCATCAGCCCAACTGTTATTGCACTAACCACCGGTGGTGCCTGCAGGACGTTTTGAGGAACGGTCATCTCTCATATACACAGATGGGCTTGTTATATTATTTCTTTTGTGAGAGTTTTTAATCTTTTGCTATTAAATGCAGTGTTATTACTACACTCACATGGGCACCTCCTGTCTCTTTTCTTCTGTCCCTGCATACAGATGGTGTTGGAAATGTATCTTTAAATTTTTAGTTTAAAGGAATTACCCTTTAACAACATAGAACAATATACATGGTTACTGTGAATAAATCTATAATACACTTTGGACTATGATGGTGCTATATTAAAAAAATTAAATATTAACTACATGTTTATAATTTACCACCTGCTGTAAATA